AACACACATAAGAACAGGACACACCACACACATAGACTGGACACACCACACACATAGACGGGACACACCACACACATAGACAAGACACACCACACACATAGACGGGACACACCACACACATAGACAGGACACACCACACACATAAGAACAGGACACACCACACACATAGACGGGACACACCACACACATAGACGGGACACACCACACACATAGACAGGACACACCACACACATAGACGGGACACACCACACACATAGACTGGACACACCACACACATAAACTGGACACACCACACATAGACGGGACACACCACACACATAGACGGGACACACCACACACATAGACGGGACACACCACACACATAGACAGGACACACCACACACATAGACAGGACACACCAACACAGGACACACTACACACATAGACAGGACACACCACACACATAGACAGGACACACACACACATAGACGGACACACCACACATAGACGACCACACACATAACTGGACACACACACATAGACTGGACACACCACACACATAAGAACAGGACACACCACACACATAGACAGGACACACCACACACATAGACAGGACACACCACACACATAGACAGGACACACCACACACATAGACAGGACACGCCACACACACATAAGAACAGGACACACCACACACATAGACAGGACACACCACACACATAGACGGGACACACCACACACATAGACGGGACACACCACACACATACATAGACAAGACAATATGGACTCACTCTCAATCTTCAAATCCTGCCTGAAAACCCACCTTTTTAAACTGGCGTATTCAAAATCTTAATTCCTCTAAAACTGATTGTTGTTTTTAAGTCTCACTGTTTGATCTTATTTGTTGCTTGTTTTTAATGATGCTCTGTGAGGTGTCCTTGAGAGCTTTGAAACGCGCCCATAAATAAAATGCATTATTATTATTATAGAAACAAATAGACACACTTGATAATCTGACATGAAGTAAATGTGACGACTGACAAGCTTCTCTCTGAATGTGCCGTATTGTTTCAGGAGAGTGTAAAATCTTCAAGGAGACGTTTATGAAGTGCCTCAGAGACAACAGCTTCGACAACTCCAAGTGCCGACTGCAGTCCAAAGACTACCTGGAGTGCCGCATGGAAAAGTAATTCAAACAGACACCTCTTTGTAATCCTCACATTTTACTCAAGTCACCATTGTTAGACTATATTTGACTGTTTTTATTTTTTATAGTATAGAATTGTTTTCATAAAAAACGTATACATTTTATGCCATGGAGAAATGTCATGGTATATAAACTATGAAGTAAGAAATGAATTAAAATGAAGATGAACATATATACATATTGGGTCATACACATATTAGATATATTAACATGGGTGTGTGGAACCAGTGTGTGTTTGTGTCCAGTTATTGTTTCACATTGTTGACCCCATGTTGTGCAGCCTGATGGGGAGGCGTGTGGCGCAGTGGGTTAGTGCGCTGATCTTCGAATCAGAGGATAGCAAGTTCGAGTCCCCACTGCAGTCAGCATGTCGTTGTGTCCCTGAGACACTTCGCCTCAAATTGCGTCTAACAAGTGACATGTAATGTAATGATGGCTACACAACATGGCACGTTCAGCACATTATACAAAGTACAGGACAATTTGTCTATTAAAGGAAAGACAAATACCCTACCCCATTAGGTCATGGTCACAATAGTTTTCTATCTGTGTTTTTAATTGTTGTTTGACTTTTATGTCAAATTCCTCGTACGTGAACCTGATCCTGATTTATTCCTAACTTTGTCCTTTTCATTGTGTGTTTTCCAGTCAGCTGATGACCAAGGAGCCAATGGAGAAACTGGGCTTCAAAGACCTGATAGACCCTCCTCCCAGCCAATCAGACGGAGACACTAAACCATGACCTGCTGCGGACTATATATTGTCCTATTGAAGCATATTAAATGCAGCGTGAAGCTGAGAAGATTTCAAAAGACTTTAAGAGTGCAAGAGGAAACTTGCCGTGGTTTCCCTTGTGGTCTCAGTTTGTTACGGAGAACAAACACAATGAATCGTCTGTGTACATAAAATATAATGTATAATATATGGAGATGCTGTTTTGGCATTCTAATAAACCTTTTATATTTAAATTAAACTGTGACTTCAGCATTTAATGGTCTGGATGGCGACATCTGCTGGTAACGTGTTGCTACTGCATCTGTATGGATGGATTGAATCAATAAGTATAAATAAGCGTTCCTAGTGCTTCTATTTTTATTTTCTTCACACAAGTGAAATGCAAAAATACATTTCTCATGATGGAAACATGTTACCCTGTTCACCTCACATTTTAAATATGTGAGAAACATGTATTTAGCCTTTTTTTATATCAAAATCCATCTTACTCTTACTGTTAAATGTAAATATATATGGCAAAAAATCGTTTTGTGGAGAAATAAAGTTAATCTGAAGAAAACTCCTGACATGGGAAAATGAAATATGCCATAACAATAGTTTCACAGAAAGAAAATGAGAATATAAAAGCACATGGAAAACAATGGAAATATATTTACTACTTTTCATCCCTTTCAGAAACATACAGAGTGACCGATGCTTAATGCTCCTCCCTAAAAATATAGAAGAAAGTAGATACCCACTTATATAAGTGGTGTCATTTATTTGAAACAGAAAGACAAACATGTGTTTTCACATTTTAAACATTTAACTTGATTGTAACTTTCAATCCCACTCAGCCAGTTATACAAAACAACACTTGTTAAGAGACACAAATAAATAAAGTCCAACTAAAAGCAAACACATGTGGATCAGAACATCATTCAAATCAGGTGGGAATAATTCATGATGATCTCAATGTGCTATTAACACACACACACACACACACACACACACACACACACGTCATGTTTTACTGTTCACCTGTTATGCTGGTCATCTGAGTGCATAGAGACCTTATATTTGCTGAATGTTGAATAATTTCAAAAACACGTCTTCAAACCAAAAATAACTGTACTTTGTGTGACTCTGACGTTATTGGGCAATACATAAAACAGTATTTTGACTAAATAAAACGTTTTTTCTTACATATTTTTCATCCTGTGTCAGTCGCATAGAGATCACGTTGTGTTTTACGGGGCTGTGAACCAATCAGAAGCCTGAACTTGCATAGGCAGTAAGGAGGAAGTGGAACCCTCAACTCGGACTGTCAGGCTAAAGTTTCCCTTTTAGCTCGCTGTATAGCCCGTTTTATCTCTGCTTAATGTTTAATATTTATAGTTAAACGCCAATACCTTGCTATAATACAGGTATAGAAGCATCCAGTTGGTTTGCTGTTGCTATTCTCGGGATTTATTTGGCTTGGTCGTGCGGAAGGAAAATGCCTGAGAGGTCAAACGAGGAAAAAACAGTGATTGACAAAAAATGAAACCGGCTATTCCTGTGTGTACTGTACAACAACGTTTTTCTTCACAGGAAATCTAAACCGTTATCTTTGTTACATAATTACTCTAAATGACATGCTTGTTCAACACTAACGTTATACATTAAGCTAGAGCTAACTGTAGTTTTAAGAGACTGCAGGATCCACACGTTTGTGTTTCCTCCTGAGAGACACAACCATGCCTCAAATGGACCCAAAAGGTGAGCCAGAAGAAACCATTAGACCCTCAATTGGAGGTGAAGATGGTGGTGGTGGAGCCATAATCCTCACTTTGACCATTTGCTCTGCAGCCATTGGAGGAACTTTCCAATATGGCTACAACATCTCCATCATCAACGCTCCCACCAGCTACATCCAGACCTTCATCAACGACACCTACATGGAGCGATGGGGCTCTGGTTTGGAAAGTTCTCAGCTCACCTTAATGTGGACCATCATCGTTTCAGCCTTTTCCCTCGGGGGTTTGCTCGGAGCCCTTCTCGCCGGTCCTCTTTCGGTCCGATTTGGCAGGAAGAACTCTCTGCTTCTAAACAACGGTTTCCTGTTCGCTGGCGCTGTGCTCGTGCTCACTTCCAGGGTGGCGAAATCTTTCGAGATGATCATCTTCGCTCGCTTCCTAGTGGGGATTAACTCAGGCGTCAGTATGAACGTACAGCCTATGTATTTTGGGGAAAGCGCACCCAAACATCTCAGGGGTGCTGTGGCTTTTTCCTCGGCCGTTTTCACCGCGTTTGGGATTTTCCTGGGTCAAGTTGTGGGTCTCACTGAAGTTCTGGGTGCACAACATCTTTGGCCTTATTTACTAGCTAGTAACGCTTTGCCAGGGTTGATCCAACTTCTCTCCTTACCATGGTTTCCAGAAAGCCCTAGGTACCTTCTCATCGACCGAGGAGACAAGGACGCTTGTGTCAAGGCGCTTGGGAGGCTCCGAGGTGGCGTAGCTCCCATTTTGGAGGTGGAGGAGATGCTTGAGGAGCAGGAGCAGCAAAAATCTGCAGCCTTGAACTCTGGATCTTCTGCCAACAAGACGCCTTGGACTCTGTTTAAAGATGCAGGCCTTCGATCTCAGCTCAGGACTGTCATGGCGGCCAGTAGCGCCATGATGCTCTGCGGCAACGACTCCATCTACTTCTACGCTTACTACATCTTCCTCGCAGCGGGGATACCTCCACAGAAGATCCAATACATCACCATCGGCACGGGGGCGTCCGAGTTTACTTCGTCTATCCTGAGCAACCTGCTGATCGAAAGAGTTGGACGTAGATACCTTCTTATTGGAGGGTACAGTTTGATGTCTTTCTGGAGCGTAGTTTTCACCGTTGCTCTGAACCTCCAGAGTCGAGGTGTTGCCGGGATGGCGTACCTCAGCATGGCTTGCGTTTTCGCCTATATCCTCAGTTTTGGTTTGGGTCCCGCAGGCGTTTCGGGGATCCTACCGGCCGAGATCTTTGACCAATCGGCTCGTCCGGCTGCTTACATGGTTGCCGGGTCTTGCATGTGGGTCAGTTTGTTTTTGGTGGGCATGCTGTTCCCGTTTATCGTCAACGTGTTCGGGGATTTCTGTTTCCTGCCGTTCTTTGTCGTTTGTGTGGCCTCCGCTGTGTTTTTAGGGCTCACTTTACCGGAGACTAAAGGAAAGACGCTGGCAGAGATCACAGCAGATTTTGATGGAAGGAATGGAAAGAAGAAAGAGTATTCAGACGTGGAAATGGATGAACCCATGAAGGAGCAGTACCAACTGGGTAAAGCTGCCTCTCTTACTAACCTAATGCTGGATCCTGATCGTAAACCTGACCTGGAGAGTATACGAGCTCAAGTGAATGTGTAAAAGAAGTGCCTTTATTGTTAAGTGAAATCCCTTAAGTGTCCTATTTATGCTGTTTTTTTATTTATGTGGTAAGTCTTTGGAAAGTATGCCAAACTCCAGCAGAAGTGCAATAGAGTTAAATATGCAATAGTTAATTGTATATGGATTACTAACCCAATGTTATTTTTGAATTCTTGAATTGTTTTGCACACTGCCAAACTGAAAAAGAAACCCAAACATGGAGAGATGATTTGAAGTAAATGGGGTCTGCCTTACAAAATCATATCGAAACATGTGTTTACAAACTCTTACATAACTTATTCAGTATAGCATAAATCTCCATATTCTCTCATATGTTCACGAACACTTGCACTTTCATTGAGACCTTAATATTGAAATCACTTCAGACTCGCATGAACAGACTGTTTATGTCTAATATTAAGTGAGGTTTAACTGAAAATGCACGTTTGACGAGTCGATCGACATGTGTTTGGATTTAGTTTAGCTGTCGTTCAATTAATGAAAACATTTCTTATTCTACGTTATGTGGACTCATGCAAGAAAATCTATATTTACTTATTTTATAGCCGCTCTCTGTTAATTATCTACAGCTCGGTCACACAAGATGGCTCTCTAGCAGCGTAACAGTGTGACTGTTAGATTAATAATTGCCTTTTCAAAGGGGAGCGTTCTGTATGAATCTCAATCTCCTGTGAAAGTAGAACAATAGGACTGTTGTAGTTAACTTTTAAATCTGTCCCAGCTTCATTTCCTTCAGTACGCCTTGTTAAATCAGTTAAACATCAGAGTGATTAAAAGGGGAACACAACCTAAATTACAAATCCTATTATGTAGATACCATAGTTAGGAAAGTCCAATCAATATGTGTGAGCTTCTCTCTCTCATAGCCAGAAACCAGAGAAATAAATCTGTTTCCACGGACCTACAGGATGTTTTATTTATTTATTTATTTATTTATTTATACCCAAATAAATCCTATTTATTACTCATATGGCCCCCGAACATTCTCCTATGTAATCTATACCAGCTTTCCCATCTTTATACTTGATGACAACACATATTTAAGTTATAGCACGCTAGGATTTGGATTTGGGAGAGAGTGGTTTTTGCTTGTCATTATTTTAGGACTTTCTTAGACCACATATGGAAAAAAATTGATGTAGTTCGACCTTTAAGAGAAAAATAAATAGTTTTTAAAACATTAATGCATGTAAATGTGTCAAATTTAAAGCCCTAAAATACTAATATGAACCGTAAAATGACCCTAATATGTAGTCTACGATATGGATTTGGGAGAGAGTGGTTTTTGTCTACTAATATTTTAAGACTTTCTTAGACCACGTATGGAAACAATTGATGTAGTTTTTAAACGTAAAAGCATGTTAACGTGTCAAATTAGAGGCCTCAAATACCAATATGATCCTTAAAATTACCATAATAGGGTCCCAAGAAATATTCCCTCTTCAAAAACAATTAATGCTTAAATCAGCTTATTTTGCTAATCATCTTTCAATTTTATTCCCCTCATAAACTTCTCATTACGCCAACGTTTGGAACAACGTTTGGAGTTACGGTACTTTATTGAATTCAAGATAAGACTTTATTGGTGATTGCAAGATGATTATACACCTCCAGCGTAGCAGCATATTCACAGTGAAGGTCTTGACAGTAATACAGGTGTTAGCAGTAGACTGGGTAATCATTTTGATTGAATGTGTTAAAGGATTACCCACTCTAATTCAACACTTCTGCACCGGGCAGATAACAGTGCCAGTGATCCACGCTTGTGTTATTTTACTGTTCAGTGAACCATACAAGAATTGAGTGGTGCAGGAATGAGGCCTCAAACCCTGAAGTTAGTTAGCATTTTAACACTTTGGGGTTCCCTCGTCTTA